CTCCAGTCTGTTCCTGCCTGATCTGGATCCTGTCTCCTGTCTGTTCCTGCCTGATCTGGATCCTGTCTCCTGTCTGTTCCTGCCTGATCTGGATCCTGTCTCCTGTCTGTTCCTGGCTGATCTGGATCCTGTCTCCTGTCTGTTCCTGCATGATCTGGATCCTGCCTCCTGTCTGTTCCTGCGTGATCTGGATCCTGTCTCCTGTCTGTTCATGCCTCTTCTGTAACCCTGTCCAGGATCGACTTCCTTCGGGTCCTCCTGGGATGTTTCAATAAATGTTTTGAACTCTCCTACTGTCTGTCTCTCCCTGAATACTAGGTGCATCTTTTTTTTTTCTAAAACCCCTGTAGCTGATAGCAGCTACTAGGGTTGACCATTTCAACCATTTCTTAACATAAAGTGATCTTTTCTGCTGAATAACTGCCTATATCAAAGGTTTGGTTCAGGTTCAAAGCTAATTTCTATAAAGCTACTAGAGTAAAAGAAGATTTGATTTCAAGGCTTTTTACACATCTTTACCCCGGTGCCAATAACTTTGAAAAGGGTCTAGCAACAAAACAGGACACAGAAATAAAAAAAATGACCACAATGAGTGGTAGGTGAAAGATGAAGACTCAGAAGGTTGAGGAAGATCCAAAGAAATAGCTATCATAAAAAAAAAAATGTTTTACAACTTTCAAGCAGGTGGAGCAGAGGAAAGGGGGGAGAAAGAGGGTCTTCTGCAGAAAATATGTGTATGAAGGGCAACATTCTTTGACTGATGCATTGCTAAAAGTGTCTATATTTGCCATCCAAAGTTCATCCATGGATGAACTTAACCAGTAGACGTTATTTAGAGCGCCGAATGTTTTAACATGGTTGCTTTGTTGGCAGAATTCCCTCACTGTAACAGCTTCCAGACAGCTGAAAATAGGATCAGTTAAAAAAATGGAATCTGTAGGAAAACAGAATAGCCATCAGAGCTAAAACCACTGCACTCTCAAACAGGGCACCTCTCGCCAATCCCCCAGGAGGCCGATCCGTCCCTCTCCGGTGGTTATGACTTCTTCTGTCTAAGGACGTTTGCAGCATGCAGAGGGAGAGAGAGCTGGTCAGAGTGCCCCCATTAATTTAAATTGAAAGAACCTTTACCAACTGATGAGCTATTTTATAGACATTGCTGCTGTTTTTGTTTGTTTTAGTATGGTAGATAAGGGCTGCACATGTTGTCCAAATGCAGGATTTTACAGCAAATAAAATATATCCTGCAAATATAAAAACTATACTAACAAAACTCCAAAATTAAAGCAACACACACAGACACAAAAAACACATGCAAAAAAGTGCTGCTAAAGAGAGATGCTGTGATCACAGAGTACAAAGAGCTGCAAAGTGGAAACACCCTGCAAACACAAAGCCTGCTGTAAATAGATAAATGATATTTAGACACATTCAAAGGAAAGTTGCTTCAAGTACTAAAAAAAAATTGCAAGTTCAGAAAAGGTTCAAACTAGTCCATTATAAAGAGGTCCTCCAGACCACTCAGTGGAGCAAAGCATCACTGCTATGACCTAGATCTTTCTTAAAAACGAACTGCATGCCTGAAGTGTTCAAACTTGATTACCGTAAATGTTTAACAAGATTTAAAGGAAAATGTACTGGTTATTTCTTCCCTCTGAAAATTAATGTCTTTGCTAAGACATACTATCCATCCATCCATTATCTGACACGCTTGTCCCAAGTGGGGTCGCGAGGGGTGCTGGTGTCTATCTCCAGCAGTCAATGAGAGGTGGGGTCCACCCTGGACAGGTCACCAGTCCATCGCAGGACAACACAGAGACAAACAGGACAAACAATCAATCACATACACACCTAAGGACAATTTAGAGAAGCCAATTAACCTAACAGTCATGCTTTAGGACTGTGGGAGGAAGCCGGAGTACACGGAGAGAACCCTTGCATGGTCAGGGAGAACATGCAGAAAGACCCTGGGCCGGGAATCAAACCCAGAAGCCCCTTGCTGCAAGGCAGCAGTGCTTAAGACATTACTATTTATGTCATATTCATGTCAACGTTTATGTCAGGTCCTAAGACATTAGTTAGAAAATATCTGTTGTCTGGTCCCATAAGGTTTAATAATCGTCTCCCCCAGTGATCTGGTCCTACTACCGCTATGGGGAGCTAGAGTGCAGCTTTTCTCAACTTACAGCTGGTTTTTTTGCTACTTGAAGCAGTTTTTTCTTAGCTGGTGTTTTGTATTTGGTGTGTTAGCATTATTTAAAAGTATGTTCTTTTTCTGGGTGGATCATCGAAATAAGTGGTCCTCGCAATCTTTATTCATTCTGGTGATATGTTTATGTAAGGCCATCCTACGTGCTCCTCCCCATTTCCACTTAACGTTGGTAAGTCTGATTTGGTGGAAAAAATGCAAATCTTCTTTTGGAAAGTAAGCATGTATGAGGGATGCAAACAGCAACTTTTAAACAGAGCGTGCATGAGGAGACGTGCCTGTGCATGATCTTGCACACGTTTGATAGGCGTTCCCTCTCGGGAGAGGGTACGGGGATGTGCATGTGCATTTTTTTTTTTACAGCGGAGAGGGTGGGTCTTTTAAAAAAATTGTGAAAATCCGCTACTATAACTTAAAGTAATTGAAGTAGGTTTTGTCCTAGCATCAAGCTTCCACTATTATGCTCTTTGTTTTCTGTGATTGCAGAATTCAACATATGCAGCATTTTTTTTCTCTTCGTGTGTTTTATTCTTATTATTAATGACTTTTGGAACAATTAATTTCCCCCTTTTTTTTGTTTTCTGACACTTCAAATTCAGAAATGTAAATTGAAATCCGAATCTTTACGGTAGGTTAATGGAGATGTTAGCATAGTTGAATTGCATTAAGGAACTCCTGAGTTGAGTCCTACCAGGGTCAGCTTTGTGCTGTGGATGCCTTGTTTCTGATGTTGACACTGTCTATACTGTTAAGATCCAGATTAGATTAGATTTCTCATTCAGATTGCAACATATGTAACTGACTTGGAATCTGTAAGCTTGAAGGTGAAAAGAGTTTGAACTGAGTTGGGTTGAATTCTTTTAATTAAAAAGTGCCTTGAGATGACACACGTTGCATATTAGCTCTATATGAAACTAACTGAAATGATGGGATAACCGGGGCCTCCAGAGGATTGTCAAGAAGGCAACCCTTTCATTAATTAAAGGGAGTTTAACAAGAAGTGGAGTGAGGCTGAGGTCAGGAGCATCAGGACCCAAAACACGTTCCAGACTCTGGTGTATAAAGATGTTCAAATGTATATATCCACCTGTACTGTTTCCCCCCTCAGAAAGTTGCACCTTGCCTGCATCCTGGATGTTTAGGTACTTCTCAAATTTGCAATGGCTCAAAGGTTTTAGTAAGGTACACTTCCCTGATGCTTGCCTAGAAAGCTTTATCCATTCCAGGAAATGTTTTCAGGGAATTTTTGAAAGCAAATGTCCCGTTTGAATGCTTGCTTGTTATGAGGGAATGTTGAATCCGTCATTATACTATCCTCTTTCTGTATTCAGCAGCAATGGCATTTAAAAACGACCCATAGTATGATTTTGCCACTACTATGCCTTGACAGTAACAACAATGTTTGTTGAAGACTCACATTTTCTTTTCTAGCATATTTCCTGTATTTTCTTTCTTGCACCATGTCCAGAAACACATTGATTGGTCCAAACTAAAAGCATTGAAGACCTCTACTCTAAGCCATAAAACCCAAACTCCATTACTTAAAAGCTCCTACATCTTTTAGAAATATCCCTGTTCAGAAACTCTTGAATCAAATGAAAGGCATGTTACCATGCCACTGCAATATTTTATAGCAAAGTGAGGAGATTATTTAGTTATTTGATTCAGATGTGTCGCTGCAGTGAAGCATTTCATAGCTCTATCACAGTGACTCTTCAGGACCTGAGAACCTGCTCTGTTGGTCCAGTGATTTTGATTTCATGGTAGGCAGGAGCCTGGCTAGTTTCCATCCTAACAAGCTTCCCTTTCAGCTGTGCTTGGCAGTTTGGGTCATACTTGGACACAGCTGGATGTTCCAGCAGAGCAGCGATCATAAACAAGCAATGGAGATTGGTTTTGAGGATTGTCTAAAACAGGTCTGGTTGTTTCTAACATTTTAAAGGAAATAAATGTGCTGTACTGAAAATTGTGGTCAGGTAAAGAAACCGTACACTTTAAACAAATTCCAACAATTTTTAATGGTTAGACCTCCAGCCAGCATCCTGCCTGCTTGTTGATTGAAACAAGCTGCCTAACAAACCATAATTGAAATTTTGTTTTTTATAAACACATTTAGGCCTACAAGTATGATTCTGAATATATTACTCAAAATCCAACATTAAAGCGGATTTAAAGTTGAGTATTATTTTTTCTAAAAATAACTCTACAATTCAGCGAAATACAACTAAATAGGGACATTTTATCACAGTTTTATTATTAAGAAAATAGGTATTTCTTTCCTATTATTTAGAAGAATTATTTGCTGGATGATTCATGTAGAGAAACAAAAACATGGCTGGCAACAGATTACACTTTGTTGTGGAGGCAAATATATATGAGGTTTTCAAAGGTTCCTGCAAGTAGCAGCTATTTCCTTTCATTCCTCTGAGGGCATATCTGACAATGAGAAGATCTATGTTAATTAAAAACAAACCGAAGGTGCTGATATCAGAAGGTTTGCAGGTCTTATAAAAGGTGCAAACGTTTGTAGGTGCAGAGCAGATCTTTGCACCTACATTTGCATGTAAAGTTCAGTAGGCAGCATCTGCAGACATTTTTTTGTGTCTTATGCAGATCATATGGAAAATCTAATGGAAAAATAACCTTGCAATTTCATAGGTTTACGATATACAAATATATATATTAATACCATTTGCAAAGCAATTTATTTTAAAGGCTGCAATTTTTGTCTTTTTTTGCACTTTTTAAAGTCAGGTGCAAACTGACACATAAAAATATCTGCCATCATTGTTGCCAAAGAGGAAGCATTGGTACAATGCTAGAGGATGAAGCGATATCCTTTGATTATGTCAAAAATAACTACAGCAGTATAATATTGTTAAAGAAAAAAACATCTACAACAAAGCTGTAGATGTCCAGCAAAGACTACTGCAGCAGGAGGCAGACACTCTTTATATTGTTAATTAACCACATCGGAAAAAAATTACTAAACTTAATTATTGTGGCATGCTTATAAAAATAATATATAACATTATTTTTATTTAATAAAAAAAAAAAAACATATTTTTCTCCATGTTTTAAAAAAGCAGAACTGTGCACAGCATATGCGTTGCTTTATTTTCTTTCACTTTCGTTAATGGCATTTTAAGATAGGCTAAGAGGTGAACTTTAAATGTTATTATCTTCATGGCTTTGAACGTCATCCATCTTTTACGCCCAGCAGTAGAACATGCAATCGGTGCAATTTAAGGGGCAGAACAAACTCTGTTTACACGTCTTAACATCTGACCAACAGTCTTTGTAGATCTCCACAACACTTTGATTTAAAGCATATTATAAAAAATAAAATGCATGTGCAATTTAGCTAAATGGACCAGCCAAACAATGTCAGGACTGCACCTCCTACGAAGCACGCCAGCTAACTTTCACCCAGCCCTGCCCCATCTGCTCCCTCACTCTCAGGCTATTTTCAGTCTCATTCATCCTCGTCCTTATTCCACGACCACACCGGCCCCAAAGGAGAAGATTACTCTAATTGTTTACCAAGATTACTCATCCAAGCAAATGTTAATTCACAGCATTAAACTCCTCTGCCAGGGCCTGAACACCAAATAACTTATTTCCTTCATAACAATAAAACTTTTCGCAGTTTTTCTCTGTCTGAGTCTCTCAAGGTTTAATTTAACTTATTTGGAAGATCAAGCCCTGAATGCATTGTAATGCCAACTAATTAAGCAGAGTGGAATTTTAAAATAAATATCTTCATTCCCATAGCATTAAATCAGTTGAAAAGTTTCCCAGCAATGCCATATTAACTACCTGTGTGAATGTACAACCAAGCGTTTGGTGACCTTACGTTATGCCAAGTTATAACACACTGTAGCAGTGGAGATACATGGAGGGAATGGGATGGAGCAGAAGAGGAGAGACTTTGGTACAAATCATGCTGTTCACCCCGGTCCATTTTATACCGACCAGTGTTAAATTTTTACCTGTTTTGGTAACAGATGATTAAGGGGATTTTCCAAAATAAGATCTTCTAAGGTCACTTTGACTCACTATGGTTTGATATGGGGTCACAATCTGTCATTTTTTATGAGTGAAGTAGGAGAAATCTGGATTAGAACAACAATAAATGGGAATAAAATGTTATCTTTATACAAGTCATTTAAAGTAATAACTCTAAAGTGTATAGAAGGTTACAGAAATAAATTGAAAAAAATATTAATTTTCAAAATGAAATGGTAAAGAAGCAGCTGACCCAAAACTGAGCAGCATCCATCAAAGTTAACTAACCCTGCTTTAAAACTATAGCTGACAAGCTATGTGCAGCACGTCTGTAAACCAGCAGACGGCAGGCTAGCAACCAATCTAACAGATTAAATGGATTAACACCCAATGCAACAGAAGGGTGATAACTATCATTTAGTAGCTGTGTCTGTATTTTGACTAAAATTTTATATAGAAATATTACAGATAATTGGTTTATATTAGTGTTGCGCCGATGCCATTTTTTGGCCCCGATACCTGGCTGTGCAGTATCGGCCGATACCGATACCATAATAATGTAAAATAATTGCCATCATGGCTTTGTCAAGCTGCTGCCTACCTTTGTGAAGCAGGAAAAAATCTATTACAAAGTGAATCCAGTAGAACTTTTTATTACCTACCAGGAGTGGGTGACAATAGTTGAATAAACTTATGGCTCTCAAAATGGTATCGGTGGGCTATTTGTTGGTACTCGCCGATACCGATACCACCATTTTAGGGCTGTATCGGGGCCCCGTCCGATACTGGTATCGGTATCGGTGCAACACTAGTTTATATTAAAATTAAATTGCTACATTATATTTTAATAGCAGCAATCGGAACTATTGTTTCTAAAAATCCCCCCAAAAATGGAATGGGAGGCAGATCTTTCAGTTATCAGGATCCTCTCCCATGGAGCCCAATAGTTTTAGTCTGTGAGGCTGCTCACACTGAGCCTGGTTCTGGATCTGCTGCACATTTCTTCCTGTTTAAAGGGAGTTTTCCTGTCCACTGTCGCTACAAGCATGTTTGGTGTGAGGGATCTCTGTAGAGTCAATGAGTCGATGCAATCAACTGGTTTTTCTTTAGATAAAAAACTTTGAATCAATCTGACTGGATGGTCTGGTTAAATTGTCTCTGTGAAGTGCCTTGAGATGACATGTGTTGTGATTTAGCAATATATTAATAAACTAAATGTAACTGAATTGAAAAATCTGCATTGCTAAATACAAGCAATACAATTTTTCCGTATTCATATTATAGCTTTATCTAAAAACATGAAAGGGGGTTAAATGGTGAGAATGTCTGGCCAGCCCAGCCTATCTTTAGTAATGGTAAAATAAAAAGAAAATGTCAATCAGAACAACACTTAGTTGAGAACCAAAGTCTGCTCCCCTCTGTATCACACTGATACAAACAGCTGTGAGAGATGATGTGTGGATGAGGCAAGGAGCTGCTGCCCCACAGAGGCGAGTGCAGCAGAGAGGATGAGTGGAGCTCAATCACTGACTGATTTCTACATAGACTCTTAATAGAATCCTGATTTCTTTGTGTGATTTCTTCTCTTCTATGGAAGAAAAGCTATTAAGCTACATCTGTCTGGATAGCAAATGGAGACCCAAAGGATGCATGTTGATGGTGATGATCTGTAAATGAATGAATGATGGTCAGTAATAGAGGAATCTGTGATGTATTGGAGTTTAGATTGTTTTGGATGTGAAGCTCTGGCATCCAACCCCTCTGAGTCACTGCTCTGGAAAAGGAGCAGCCCTCGCTCTCCTCCGTGTGCAGGGGCACCCGGAGAACCCAGAGGGCCCCTGTGTCTCTGTAAGTTACTGCTTCCACTGCACGCACAGACTCCTTCACCTCCACGTTGCGCACGGAGGGGTCGGGGGCGGATTCGGGCCAGTCAGGCAGCTCCTGGTAGCCCCCAGCTTTGGCATTCAGCAGGTGGGAAAGGGAACCCAACTGGAAGTGGTCTCTATCTGGGAAATCACAGAGTATAAAAAAATATTAAATTAATCATTAATTATTATCAGCAGGTACGTACAAAGGTTCATCATTTTCTTTTGCCAGTGGAACAAAGAATGAAAAACTGGCCCCTGTTGTCGCTGTAGTGTGCCAATGCAAGGATTGCTGAAATTAAAATAATTGGTATGGCAAGCCAATTAAATCTGCTTTTATCTTTTAAAGCACTTTTTCATACATTTATGGAATAAATTTGTGGTTTTGATCATATATATTATGTATATTAAAAGAGCCTTAAGTACACTGAGTAAACCCCAGGTTCAAAAAATAAAATCCATCTTGAAATATATAGAAGGACTTTAATTGTATTAAAAGAAAAGACTACCGTACCTTTAAATGGAGACTCAAGCACAGGTGCAGGTTTCAGAGCCAGGAAAAGCTTCTTGGCATACTTGCTGAGAGCTCCGCTCTTCTCAATGGGCACTATGAGCTGCCGAATGAACCGCGCCCGATCACGGATGTCATAGTTCTGGTCGTACTTGGCCAAGTTGAGAACGTACTGCGTCAACAATTTAGTCTGAGGGAAGAGAGAAGAAAGAGGAGAGCTGGCTGAGATGGCTACATCTTCATGGTTGAGGCTTTTTGACACACAGAGGCCACCGTTGCCACAGTATGTCTTTGAGGCAGTGACATGCTAGGGCGTAGTATTCGTTCGAGCGGAAAAACCGCCATCTCACCACTAAATGACAGTAATTCTGACACCAAAAACCTTTAAAAACATTGAAATAATGGGAACAAAGTCTCCTAGTTTGTCTGCAATCGTTAGTTTTATGACAAAGTTTACTCTGTTTTTGTTGTATTGCTTGAAAGGCATAGTTTCTCAGTGTTAAACTTTTTAGTACCCAATCACAGCTGGTTAATGAGCATAAACATCAAGTCCTAAAGCATGTAGTTTGTTTTATGGCTCTTTTATCACTTTATTCACTCGTCCTTTAAACAGACACTAAAATGATTTAGATGGGTGTATAATGTCTGACATTATTTTATTTCAGAATATAATTCATTAATTGTTCTTTGTTTTTGTGTTGTGTTTTATAATCAAGGTCATAGTAGCATCTAAAGGGAGCTGATGCTTCATTTTAGATTATAAAATGTAACTGAGTAGCTACTTTGCCTAGTAACTACTTAAATACTTTGATTGTACAGCAATCAGTTACTTTTTGGGAGAAGTTACTTCCCACTAGTTACTTTCCTTTTTGATAAAGCTTATAGTTAGAGTGGCTCAGGTTATCCTGAGCTAACTCTATAGTTATGCTGCTATAGGCTTAGACTGCTGGAGGACATAGGGACCCCCA